TTTTCAGTGCCTGCTGATGATGGAAAAAAGAAGGGATGTAGCAATAATCCCATTATTCCTACTTTGCCTGATAAGGCATTCCTCTCCTTCCGTCCTGGACCCAGTAGGCTGGTCGCTTAGTGTTGGAGTTTCTCCTCATACTTCTGTAGACCTCCTGACAAATCTTGCATGTCTTCCTTGTTTTTCTTCATCTCAGCAGAGAGCACCCTGTATCCCATTTCTCCTTTGCATCTCTTCCAGCTCCAGATCCAATATTTACTGAGAGTTGTGGGTTTTTTCTCCATTTATGGAGAAGGGCCTTTTCTGAACAAACTTGTGGTCCTGTGTTGTTAGTACCATGGGATCTTTCCTATTTGCTGACTTCTGTGAAAGCAGGATCAAGCCCTGTAGTCTCTTTACAGGGTTATGGTTTCTTCTTCATTGTTTTTCTGCTTCAACTAAGAAAACTACTGGTTTGCTGCTTTGAGGTGAACAGCCACAGAGGGTGATTTTAAGTTGTTTTATTATAACATGGTTTCTACTGAAGAAAATATTGGAAATGTAGGAGTCAAATTCTTCCTCACCACAGCTCCCGTCTATCTTGCCCCACATTCCTCCTGCTGTTTAATCCATAGGCATAATCCTGTGTCCCAGCGGAGATGGGAATTTCCCTGTGGGAGGGCAGGGTTGAACACTGGAGCTCAGCAAATGCTCTCGCTCCTGTGTGGGCTGTCTCGAGTCGGGGCAGCTGGCATGGATTAGGAGGAGCAGTTTTAGTGAAACTGCAGCGTCTTGGCTGCACAAGGAGCGAGGTTTCACCAAGTAGGGTGGCCATGGGTGAGGGGTGACTTAACCCTGGCAAATCTGGTTTCTCCACTTTGTCAGGATTGTAGTTTTTGACTGAAGTCGAATGCCTACCACGGTGCAGCAAAGCCAATTTTAATTAAAACATCCAGGCTTTGCTGAAATGTTGGTTTCATGCTACCAAGCCACCAGTCATTGCTGGCAAAAGCTCTGGTGGGATGGGATTCCTGGACTTGCTGCTTGCAGCATTAAAAAAAAAAGAGTGAAGGACAAAATATGAACTTTTCTAGAGCTGTAAAAAAACTTGGTAGTCAACTCGCCATAAGTGCTTCACTGTTTTAATTGTGAACGTGAGATAGATCACACGATGATCACAGCTTCAGAAGAAAGCGAGACTAAAGCAGTGCAACACAGTGTTTGAACCTGCTTTCCAGCATGCCTGAAGCTACATGGTGAAAGGATGTTTTGAAAAGTTCTTATGCAGATCCTGAGCTCATTGGGAATTTCCAGTCAGCTGAGTTCCCCCCTGGGGTTTGCAGACTTTTGTATTCGGTTGTTCTCTACTGTGCACAGAAAACTCAGGGCGCTGCTCGGCAATGATAGCTACCATATGTAATACATTGCTTGCTGTCGTTGAAAGAATAACTTAGAAACACCCAGTGAATTCGGGGCACTTTGCGAATAGCATGAACCAGCATCAGGCTGGTGGAACAGCTATATGTAATTATACCCGTTTTACGGACAAATGAGAGAAGGGATGAATAATAGAAATACTTTTTCAAAAGCCAAGTAGTACTGCAATGAAAGAGCTGGCATCCTCCCTCTACCACTTGGCCACACTCTGGCTTGGATTCAGGGAGGCATTACTAATCAGGAAAAATGCTCATGTACTGGCTTAATTTCAAGCGTATGCTTAAGTTTCAGTGAAACCAATTAGAGTTAAGCCTGTGCTTAAGTGCTGTCCTGAAGTGGCTTCAGCTTGCAGATAGGCAAAATGTAAAGCTGTGCTGTGATGCAGTTCCCCTCCACAGTGGGTTATATTTAAGCTTTGTAACTTTATAATATTATAATATAAAATATATCTCTTTCTGCAAAATTGTTCCCCTGGAAATTCTTTATTCTGAGTGAATTAAAGCATGATTAGCTTAATCTCAACATAGAGGCAAAAGAAATGGATTTGCTAAATACAAACACTTTATTTGCTTTTGAAAGAGTGCTTTTTTCTTTTAGAGGCTAACCCAGAATCCATTCTGCATGCTCTCAGGAGACAAGAATGCCAAAGAAAGACTTTTTTGCTCCATTAATGAAGTCTCTGTGTTTAAGTATAATTCACTTATGCAGAGTATATTGATATGTTCCTTATCGTCCATTTCATTCCAGTCTGAACATTCCTCGCAAAATATCAAAGGTTTTATGTCATCTCTAAATGAAGAAATATGTAATGCTCCATGACTTCAGGCACTGATCTTATCCCTGTAAATGGGTGACTAACTGAAACATTAGAATTATAAATGGAAATAATAAATTCTGGCCATAGGAGGCAAAAACATGTAAGAGATTAAGCAGTTCAGCCTTGGAGAAGAGCTGATGCACAGTAACCAATTTGGTGCAAACTGTAATATATGCAATTTCTCCTCTATTTATAAAGAAGCAGATGTGTGACTCAACATTGCTTTTTTCCAAAGTCAATCTGCTTGAAGGAACATAAACAAGATTTGTTTCCAGGAAGGCATTTTACAGTATTTCTCTCCTGGTTGGCATTTTTTTTTCCCCTTAAAAAGTGAGAAACGGGTCTAAACCTGGAGCTACGCAGTTGCATAGCACAACCCCAGGGGTAGGTTCTCATTTTCAGACCTGGCCACTGCCTAGAAATCTTTCACCTTAAATAAGTAGGAATTTCCAGGTCTGCCTTCCTATCATTTGATGATGTTAGTCTGATTTTTCTAGAAGCTGCTTGTCCAAACAAGTGTATGGGGTGTTGGAGGAAGCCTTGTCACTGCTGCTGTCCCTGAGCGATGGCAGCGGCAGGCGCCGTGCAGATGCCTCGTGCAACCCTGTTGCTTGGAGACTTGGGGCTGGTATTTTGGATGCAACATTCACTGGAAAGATAGGGGAAAAAAATCCTGTTTTGTCTAACTGCCGGACTTAGGAGCTCTCTGGAAATGCTTGTGGTTCATTGATACAGACACATGGATAATGAGTGAGAGGAAGAGCACACAGTTGGGAGGTTTGTTTTTAGATTTTCCTATAGGGAATGTTTTAGCCTTGGAAGAAAAATTGTGCATAAGTCCTTCCCTTTCCACGCAGTACTAGAAAGCAGTTATTTTGAACTTTGTGCTGCTCTTCAAGTAGAAATGCATCCTAATTATAGATTTTTCGTCTGTAACTGAACTTTTCCAGGCTGAAAGGATGTTTGAAATTGGTGGGGCTAGACTGGAGTATTTAAGAGAGCAGAGCAGCAACAAAATTTGGACACGGGCCAATAACTCATGGTTTGAGGATGCATCCAGCTTGATGTGTTGTGTTCAGTTAAGTAAGGCAAAATCCGTAGGAATTCCCATCATGTCAAATATTTATATGCTGGATTTTCCCCTTCCTCCTTTTTCTTTTCCCTATGGACTTTTATCCTGATTATAAAAATTCTCGTTTTCTATTGAGCGTGTTAAAGTCTTGTGATTACGCTGCCAAAGTGTCTGTGCTCTAAAATAATGTAGACTTTGAGTGTTTTTGCCAAAAGTAGCAATAAGGGTTGAGTCAAATCTTGAAGCTTCCAGTGCAATAAACAGCACAGGCAGACATACAGCGCAGCTCGCAAGCCCAGAGCTGGGCTATATTCTATGCGGTTATTTCACTATATCTGTAGATTAACTGCACTGACACCTCGAGGGTCTTTCTGTGGTTATGAGCAAGAGCAAATTTAGCCCTTTTTTCCTGCTACTTCTAATACAGATAGAGATATTTTTATTCTGCAGTATGCAGTAGGATAATTATTTCATGCATGCTTGTAGCATTTGGATTCCCTTTAATTGAAGGTTCTTAACAAACTTGTTCAGCAATTAGGCTCCATGCTAGGCGGCCAGACAAAAACTGGCTTATTTGCAGCTGAATAAAGAAATACGAGGGAACAAGAGATTTCCCTGAGCTGCAAAGTGACGGCGAGCTGGGATGAGCACGCGGAGCTTGTTCCTGCTGGGGCATCCCTGGAGCAGCCTGAGCAGATCTGCAGTTGCTGGATGAATTGCTGAGCTAAGAGCAGAGGGTTTTGACATTCGATCTTGTCCCGTTTTGTGTGGGAACTCGAAGGACCTCCTTTGCAGGAAGCACTGCTGCTGGCTGTCCCTGCTCAGCATATTAAGCCCTTGAAGATGATGAAAACAGTGAGTTGGCTCCAAAGAGACCCCTTAGCACTAATAATGTGCCATTCCGCCTGGTCTGTGCACTGTGGCGCTGAGGTAACAGAAAACCCAGGACCAGTTTCACTGGCCTTTGGGCAGGTAGGCTGCCTTTTGTCAAGCCCTTCTGCTCTTTGCCGGCTCCGTTCCTGTGCGCTTTTCTTTTGTGTCGGGTCACAGTTTCAGGGCTCCCAAATGGACATAGGGATGTTTCAGTGGCCCCGCCTGAGATAGCTTGAGAAGAAAATCTTTTCTAGAGAAATCTTGTCCTGCAGCTTTTCAGAAGAGAAAGTGAGAGGTGTGTGCAAACCCTCAGCATCCTCAATTTGTGGAAAAGGAATATATATATATTTATATGTTAAACTGTGGCCTTGATAGGTAGACTGGAAAGCAACCCGTGTCCTGACCATGGGCAAGTTGTGAATGAAAGCTGGCTTCAAAATTTCCAGCCCACAACTGGGTAAATTACAGAGCACACAAAGTGCGCGCGAGCCCCGGTTGGGCTAGTAAAGCGGAGCCGCCTGCGCTGGGCTGGATCAGCACCAGGCAGCGGCTGCGACTTTGCCAGACGGGACACTCGTACAGGAGCAAGGGAGTCCCCAGGGCCTCGGGAGTTTCCCTGAGCGTTCATTTCTTGCTCTTGTAGAGAGGCAAATCCCATGTTTCTTGCTGAAGCAAACTCAGGCTGAATGGAACAGAAGTTTGCTGAAACAGAGAATGAATAATATATATAAATATATGTACATATATATGTGTGTGCATGCAAAGGTCTTCAGGATTTAGCTGAGTGTTCACACATTCCCTAAGCCAATAACATCCGTTGTTATGGGAAATGAGGTAAGTGACAGAATTACTGTCCTTATGGCAGCGACAGGCAAGGCTCGCGTTCCCATGCCGTAATTCCCTGCTCCAGTCACTGCTTCGACAATAGCTTGGGAGGGAGAAGGGGAACAAAGAGCCCTCAGTTTTGTTTGAAGAGTTCATCTGAAATATAGCCGGGTTCTGCAGAAACTGGAATTAAAGAGCAGTAAAACACCTATTCTGCCTGCCTAACTAACACCTTGCTACTCAGTTAACCCATTTTGGCTTCCATGCTCTGAGCAGGTCCCTGGGCTAATGCGGTCGGGAAGCGTTGCTCCAACGTGGGGTTTGAGGTGTTTTCTGTGTCTGCGATGTGAGCAGGAAGAGCTCTTGGCAGGAGCTGCCTGCAGGTACCTGCAGATCTCGGCAGCGTTTCCAGCGCGGGACGTTGCTTCCTGCATGCACAGCCGCTGTGCAAGGTGTGACCCTCCTGCGGACGCCCGGCTGGGACTGCTGCAGGCCGAAACCCGCTCCGGGGCTCGCTGGGGCCCTGCAGCGAGCCGTGGAGGAGCT